TTTATACATTTCTGTATTATGTATTATAATATTACAATCTTTACAATCAAAGACTTAATAGGTGTCTCTTTTAAAAAAAATGTTTTCCTGTCCCTGACACTTGGCCCTTATTATATTAGACAATTTACTTTACATTTACATTCCATCACAGAAGTGAATCAAATGGTGCCATATAGGCCTACTGTATTATTTTTTAAGTTTTCTAGCATACCTAAAAATCAAGAAGGCCTCGTAACAAAAGCACTACTAGGCTGATTTCAGGCAATGTAACTGGTTGGGCTTAGCAGCTTCTATGAACAAAGCTAATGTCAGAGGCTCAGTTCACAGGACATTGACAGAGAAAGCTAGGAAGAGAAAAGGTGAGAGTAAATGTGGTACTGCCTTTTAATGGTTGGATAAAGAGTAAAACAATAATAAATAATAAATATTAGCTGCTATGTCTGCTGTTGTTGCACTTGCTTGATGTTTGGCTGTATTAGCGAAGTTGTTAGTCAGTACTAACGTTCAGAGTTCTACAAATGCATTCCTTGGAAATTATATACCGTACCGTACGTCTTTTAGCCGCAGTGTCCTTGTTCATCTGACCACCAGTTTTAATTTCACACACAAACATTCACATACAGAAGTAGCAAACATGAAATGATGACCAATGCGTGGATGAACTCACTTTGATCATCTGCTCTGTGTTCTTGTAAACTGTGGAGAAGTTTGGCCCTGAGTGGTCAGCCTGAGGAACAGTCAAACACAGGAAGTTCAAGAATCATGCTCTGACATATGAGCACACCTGTGTATCTCAACAGGTAATCTGTAGAAATGGGAGTTACTGATGTCATCACCTTGAAATACTGCACTTTGAGCAGTTCAGCTCCAGACTCCACCGAAGAGCTGATGAGACACAGCGGCTCGCCACTCGAGTCTGAAACAAGATGAAACAAAATAAATCACTTAGATAAAACCAACACCACTGTACATGTTTGACCGTATGTACCAGAACACCTGCTGCTCCAACAGGAAATGCAATGCACCACCGAGAACACTACAGAAAACACCATAGAGAACACTACAATACACCATAAAGAACACTAAAGGCTCTGACCATTGAACTCCAGGCACTTCATGGTGATTTTGTTGATGTATGTTGTGGCACACATGTCGTACTTCCTGACTTTGGTGTCGATGCCTAGTTGAGCCACATGAAGGACCAGGAAAGGTAACTCCTTCTGCTCTCTGGGCTTCTTCAGGGTCAGCAGTACCTTGAAGAGGAAAGAGGAAACAGAATCAGAATCGGATGAATTAGACAGCTGCAGAGAGGTCGATCAGGACAAATTATTCCATGATCAGACCGGCAGCTAGTATGTGAGTTTAACCTTCTAGTTTTAAGATTTGTACAATGTATGTAATGTATTTTGTGACAGAATCAAACCGATTTCATACCTCTTTTATCTCAAAGTTGAGGAGAATATTGATTGTGTTTTCAGTCGGACCTCCGTTGGTGGCGGACAACACACCGTCTGATCCCGACTGTAACGACATAACCTGCTGCTCAGCAAGCTCCGCCTTTTCTGAGGATGGAAAAACAGTAATCAAAAGTATCTTTAGATCTTCTTTCAGTGCCTGACGGTTGAATAAAGTTAACAGGAAGCAATTATCAGTGTTGATACAGCGCGGGTTAAACACTGTAATAATAATAATACATTACTGTCAGATTTCCCATCATGCACTGAGAATAAAGTTACCTTGAGCCACCTGTCTTTTGACGTCAATGCTGTGCTCTTTACTTCCCTCCCCGATGTTCTCCACCAGGATCTTCATCAGCACACCAAGGTCTTCCTCACCCAGACTCATCTGAGTAAAATACAATTTCACATCTTACTCTAAAAATAAGTGAAATCACAGTTTAAACAACAACAAATATCTGAGACCTACATTCAGGGACTGGAGGACTCCCTGGACCTGGATTCCAGGGATCTTGGTGAACCAGGAAGCAGCCAGGTTCCTGGTGACCACCAGCTCTAAGTTGATTGGCTGCAGGATCTCAATGTCCGGCTGAGAAAAGTCTTGCTTCAGTGTGGTTCTAAAAACACATTTATTCAACATTTAATCAGCATTCTGTTGGTCATCATCACGTCTGAATGCAGAGCTGAGACTTGTGATGTGTTCAAGGACATTCAGACACCGGAACAGAAACAACCAGAATGCACTCTAAAAACAAGAAATCAATGAAATGCTGAAATATAGGCTGACTGTGTAATGTCAAAAAAGTTTTCTTACACCCCCCAAAATCATAAAGGACTCGCGACCCATCCTGAAGCTTTGCTACTGAGTGACAATGACGAATATTGATCTGATTGATTGATTTATTGTGATGATACCTGCAGAGTTTCAGCTGAGTTAGCTTGATATCCATTCTCTCCACCACGGCCGGCAGAGAGAAATCTTCGACCGGCAGCAGGGAGAAGCTGTTTCCCACCGTGATCAGACCCAGATCCACCACCATGGCATTGTGGGAGGTGGAGGACTGGGGGATGATGATGAGTGGAGCCTTCAGTTTGATGTCCATAGACAGACGGAAACTCTTTTGGGCCAAGCCCCGAACGCTGGACGCCGCTTTCTCTGCAGCCTGAGCCGTTGCAGCGCTCAGAGCTTCTTTAGCCGTTTGGAAGTTATCGACGAACATCTGAAGAACAAAATCGATCAGCAGTGAGACATCAACCAACCCCGTATCACATGATGAGAGAAACGCCATGAAGTCAGAGGGAGCCAATGTGAGGCATTCACTGTCTGGACAGAGTGTACGGTTATTTCTGTTTCATAAACCGTCAGATGAAGAACCTCAGACTAACAAGAGTCATTCATTGACTTTAGTTAGGACCTGATTAATAAGAAGCCATTACACATAAGCAGTTCCTATGGGCCTCATGCTGGAAACGATATATGAACACATGTTAGTTTGTATCCACGATGTGTGGCTTTTTTGTTAGTACCCACTGATTTCTGGGATTCATCAATGTTACATGTATTTATTTATTTATGCTTATGTCATTTTTTGTCCTATATACACAACTGATGATAAAGTGGGATTCATCGTTCGGCTCTCAGAGTAAGAGCAGATCTGGATGTTTCAGGAGGTTTGGTGCATTTTATTTTTTCACTTAAATGTGAGAAAATATAAAGAGAATGTTTCTGCGTGAGGCCCAATAATTGCAGAAGGAATAATTACCAAAGGTTCACTGAAACAAAAATGTTGTATTTGCAGGAGGAAAGTGAGGTCACACAGGCAGAGGTCATGTGAGGGGTAGGGGTTAATGATGGCAGCTGAGTGAGTTGCATAGCACTTATGGAGAAAGTGACTTTTGAGAACTATGGCATGTTGTGCATGAAGAGCATGACTTCCTGTGTGTTCTATTTTTTAAGGTGGTATTTTTGTCGATTCCACGACTAGAGAGCAGACGTGGAGTCGAGGATGAGGGTTAACCCTTTGACAGAGGGTGTGTCCTATTGACATCCTTAAACCGAATGATATTTAAGGTGGACTGAAGGTGCAGTGGAGTCGCTGAGTGAAGCTAAAGCAGAAGGTTTGATGTTGTACCTCATCAGCTGACGCATACTGAAAGCTAAAAGAAGCCTGAAAGGACAAAAGACATCAACAGGAAGACCAGAGACATGAGAGACTGTAGAGAAACACGCAACAAGTAAACAACAAACAACATGTTGAGATCCAACAAAAGTTACTGCTGCTTTTATTACAAACTGTACGTATTTCTAATTATCCCTGAAGAGCCAATGACAGTTTTATTTTGTGCCATATTATCAGATTAGCATGCTAATGCTAACTGGCGCCCATCATTAAGAAACAAACAGCCTGCATCCAAACTGCTCATTATTGTTTTTTTATACTTAATAACAGAGTCGGCTATGAAACAGCCTTAAAAAAACTCAGATTTCATCCCTGGGCCACTGCAGCAAGGGCTCAAGGTGAGCTATCCAGGTACCCCTGTTGGCTCTCCACTGCTGTCGGAGCACCGACCAGAATTAATATTAAGTTGCTCTGTTATGGTTCAATAATGATCTTTACTGGACTGGAAATTCAACATCGAAGGTTCAACAGTATTTAATAATTTCATTAAACATTTTTTAAAAAGACCTTAAAGAAGAAAAGAAGAAAAATATAATAGGTGAATCATGGGACGGTATTCAAATGTAATGTCACCATTATCTTGGCCAACATAAATGCGATACAGAATACTATTATATACAGATACATACAGATATACAATATACTCTTAGACCTCCTAAACATGGTGTGAAACACTGTTTCTCAGCAATAATATGAACTTCATTGTGGGGGATTCCACGTGCCACACAGGATCAGGATTTTATAGTGACTGGAACGATGTGGGTCCTATCAAGACACTGTACATTAGTGAGCTAAACAGCTTTCTCAAGTCAAACCATGTGAGGATATTTACGATTATTGCAATAATTCATCGCAATATATGTATCTGAGTTTTTTTATTGCGATAATATTGTATATCGGCCGATTCCTACCCCAAGCTGTTGAATGGTAGCGTAAATATAAGCTGATTTCAGCAGTCACTTGAAACTAAAGTGCCGTTGAATGGACACAGTGATTACATCAGTGATGTACTCTACACTATATAAACACTGATAAATTTTACAGCTCAAAGCTAACAGTGACTTTCTGTTAAAATGATCAGACAAACAACATGATAGACTCACTACAAACTGTTAAATATAGAAACTGATGAAAACACAAACCACCAATCAGCCCATGGGATGTTAAAGGTAAACCTGTGTATATTACACTGTTTATGTGTATATATGTATATGTGTCTCTGTGTATTTGTATACAATTATGTATATGTGTATATGTGTATGTGTATAAAATCCTACCAGCAGGGACATGAGGAACTTGTGCAGGTAGACGATCTGAATACAGCCCAGACGCATCGTGACCTTCCCGTCCACCTTTGAAGTGTCGCTGTACCCATCCCCCTCCGTTACGCCCGGAAACAAGGACAGTTTGAAGCTGAAAACCTCCTCACCCATGATGGACACTGCCTGCAGCGGGGAGGAAGGAAGGGGGAAGCAGGTCAGCATCATCTCATAGAGCTGCTGCTATCATCCCTACTACGAGTGACAATGGGAATCAGAATCAGAAATACTTTATTGATCCCCGGGGAGAAATTTGTTCAATAGATAATAGAAACATTACAGTGTTTCAGACCTTTCTGTGGATGGTGTTGGGATTGATGTCTGTGACCACGATGTCTCTGAGTCGGGCAAACACCTCAGTCTCATTCGCCTGCACCGACACTGATGCATCGATTCCTGCAGGGCGGATTACAGTTAGGGTCTCTTCAATCTTTAATGTGTAACATTTCCTCATTGAACAGTGTATAAACTCTAGAGCTATATTCTATATGTAGCTGATTCAATTAATAATCTATAATCAATAAACAGTGTATAAACTCTAGCTCTATGTTCTATATGTAGCTGATTCAATCAATAATCTATAATCAATAAACAGTGTATAAACTCTAGAGCTATGACCCTTTAGTGGCAGAAATGGAAGCGTGTTTTCAAACCTTGGACTCTGATGTCTGCAATGCTGCGGCGATCGTCACACACCTCGACGTGGAAACAACCCAACATGGCGAAGAGCTTGAAGCTGAACACACCGCCATCTTTGGCTCCTTTAGACGCTGCAGAGACACAACGAGTCAGAGACACTTCAGACATACTAACACACCTGTGGCCGGACGGCATGCACTCACCCGTCTGGCCCTGTCCTCTCTTTTCCACCTGTCTTTTGGTGTCTCGGTCGCGGGCCACAGTGAGTTGCGGTGGCATGGCGCTGTTCAGGTAGTTGATGGTAGACAGCAGAGCTTTAGTGTGAAGGAGGAAGTCCAGAGAGGAAAACTCCACCTGAAACAGCAGCAGAAAACAGCCGTGAACACCTGACTGTCACATACAATCTGTCGCTATAGAAACACCCTCCACCCACCTTCAGGGTTTGCTCGGTGTTGTTGAACAGAGTCTGAAAGCTGGGACCACTGGGGTCGGCCTGCAGGACACACAAACATGATCTGGAATCAGTGCTGAGTCCTAAACTGTATTTATACATAGAACCCATTTAAAAATCACTATTGTGATAAAACTACGTTCTTTAGATTGATCCAGGTGAGTGTGTTTGTGCTTACCTTGATGAACTCCACCTTCAGCAGGTCGGAGCCCTGCTGCTCTGAGGAGCTGATCAGGTGGAGAGGACGATTCCTGCCGTCTGAGGAGCAAACACATTCAAACACATAACTAGGGCTGACTCCTGCTGGTCAATATGCTCTCATCCGATTCTCATTGAGAAAAGCACTTTGTAATCGTTATTATTGGGCAGACTAGACCTAAAATTATTTCTATTGTTAAATCTACAGTCATATTGTATCCAGATAATATTTCATAGCCACACGTATTATTTTGATTAAACATTTAAGTATATTTAGTTGAACCTGAGGAGCTCATATGAAGCTGTACGAAAGGACTCCAGGTTTCAGTTTTTACTAACCAGCCAATCAGAGATCATTAGATCATTCATTTTAAACAGATTGTAGTCATCAGTCCGCTCTGCTGTAAAGGTTATCATCATATGTTACCTGGTACGTCGCAGTAGTCCAGTGTGACTCGACGCAGGTATGAAGTGACACTCAGGTCAAAGCTCCGCCTCTTCCCTTCAGCTCCAAGCTGACAGACGCTTAAGGACAGGACCGTCTTCTCCTGGTCCACCTGCCGGGTTAGCTCCAACAGCACCTGAACACACCACACACAATCGTCTCACATGGCTGTAAGCTCCGCCCCCTTTGAGTCACATGATGACCTGACCTGAGAAACAAACAAACCTCTTTGACTTCAAACTTGAAGTGAAGGTCGGTGAGTTCCTCCAGAGCTGAGCGCTGGTGATCTTCATCTGTGGACTGCTCACTGGCGTCTTCATCAGAATCTAAAGCACAAATAATAATACAAATACAACAGTTTGGATTCATTAAAAACAGATTCTCCTTTTTTAATATACGTTGACTTTTTAACATAATCTACCACCCCTCACAGTCTACTACGCCTGAAGTTGTAGTTTCATTGGATGCCGAAAAGGCGTTTGATCGGGTGGAGTGGAGGTACTTGTTTTATACATTACAAATAATGTTTCATCTGAACTCTTCTCAGTCTCCCGTGGCACACGACAGGGGTGTCCTACGCACGCTATTGCAATCAAGCCTTTAGCACTGTCATTACGCCAGACAACACAATCCCTATATGCGGATGACCTCTTGATATACCTCTCTGACTCCTCCCACTCCCTACCATC